GCAGATGGGTCTCAGATGCATGCAGGAACTACACAAGACACAAGCCTGCAGTGTTATTTTGTGCAAACAAATTATATTTAGATCATCTGTCAGTGTGAGATACCTCCACCCATTTTCCTTGAATGACTGTATAGCCATGAGTTTCTACTCATCATTACGAAATTCCCTTTGGGGAGCTTCTGTCAACTGCATATTGAGACTGATTTAAGAGTGTTTCAGCTCTAGATGACAATTTAATTTGAAGACTTTTTCTCTTTTTTTGTGCTGTGTATTTATGCTACAAAGAGCCTTTTATGAAAAGTGTTTCTAGTTACACTAGTAAAAGAATAACTAAGTAAGAGTGACTGCTTGAATAATGCGGTTTCCCTCCATTGTTTCCAGTGTTAAGTCTTGCCTCCAGCAAGGAGAGAAAAATGAGAAACAATGGATAGTAGGAGCATTTATAGTGAATGACTAACTGTTAGAGAATGGGGGAGTGAAACTAATATAACCTGTTTGTTCATTGTGTCCCTAACCTGTTAGTCTGTCTGGAATCTGCATAGATTACATACAAATGTAAAAAAATCCATCAAGAAAGAATGTTTAGGTAATGCATGAGTGCTAATTTAAAGCTTGGTTTAGTGAGAAAACGACCGCAGGAATTAAAATGAAAACGAAACCAAAATAAAGAGTATCAACGGAGGAATGAATGCTCGAGGCCAGGAAGCACTGGTGCTTTCATAAATCAGGTATCTTGATTTTTCACTTCTCAGATTAACCAGGTCATCCATCCTTCCTATCCAGCCTTTCTTCCTTTCCAACGTAAACCTTGGATGTACAAGCCATGCTGGGAACAAGCAGGACCCTACTTGGCCAGGCACCTTAGGTTCTGTCAGCCTCAGTGACACAGCTCTCTCAGCCACCCGAAGTGTGGTTGCAGCCAGTCTGCCTCCTGTAGAGCAGCACATAGCAGCAGAGCACACACAGTACCCGGAAACCAGCCAGCTCCTGTCCATAATTGTTAGACTTCATGTGGTTTTTGGCGCTGCCATTTTAGCTTGGCTTAATTTCTACCAGAGCTCTTGTGGAATGTGGGTATGGCATTCACTGAGATTATAAACGACCGCGGATGGAGAAGATTCCAAGACTGTACAAATGCGTCTCTGGGCTAATTATCTCAGAAATGTTTGATTCGTTAATTTGATATCTAAAACAACTGATATCGTAGAGTTTCATACCCTTGGTAAATACCTAGATAAGTCATTTGTACCGGGAAAAAATGTTGTTGTAATGTTAATGGTGATGAAAATGTAATGTAAGCGACTGACTGAGAGCCTTAGATCGTGAAGCAGGTGTGTGTAGAAAAGGGAATGTCTCTGATATAAAGGAGGTCACAGCCAGATTGCTATTTTATTTATGAGAGGCATGTAAAACACAAGGGCTATGCGCCTATCCAAGGTGCTTCACATATTTGAGGCATGCAAGATGCTGGACAAAAACTGATATGTTCCAGAGAAAAATAGCACGGCCTCCGTCTGAGAGAAGCTTTTTCTCTCTCTTGCTCCTAAAAGTGTCCGAGGTAGCTCTTAGAGCTTCCTCCAAGCTTGTCTTCTATTTGACTTTAAGCCTCACCTGTGACAGCTGGGCCTCTGTTGTCATAAGCTAATGTCTTTATGTGCATGACTGAAGACCATTTCCCAAGTGATTACATTAAATGATGGCATGGAAAACTTCACTGGGCTCGAGTTTGTATGCAGACTATAACGCAGCTTCCCAGACAGAGAATAAGAGCTCCGGTTATGCTTGTCAGCCCCACTCATTATGGCCCATCGACATCCCTGCACCTGGAAAGATGTCAGCTTGATCTCTGTGTTTTGTTCGCCTGTCTGTCTTCTGCTGCCTAATGTGTCCTGGAGAGGCAGAATGAAAAACAATCCACGCTGTCGTGGATCTCGTGATTGAGTAGGAAGTGTTAGTTTCTTACAAGGACCAGCTGACGGCAGGGAGCCAGTCTTGCGAGGCGCTGTCCTAATTTATGGATGTGGGTGTTTTCCCTTTCCCGCTTTAGATGTGAATCTTGAAGTCAAAACAAATCGTTTGGAAATATTTTTTAAAAAAAGTAGATTTAATCATGGTGGTTGTGGTATGCACACATCAATCAGCAGTGGGAATGTAAACAGACACTTGAAATTGTTGCCATACGCCACGAGAAAAAAAAAAGTACAGTCACCTTCATAGTAGACATTCGGGTGCGTTTTAGCCTTGAGTCCCCAAGTGATTGCAGATAACAGTGCAATGTTGAGGAAAGGATAATCCAGCGCTCTGAATAAGTGCCAAAGACAGAGTTGAACTCCTCTTCCCCTAAGGATATCTGCTCCTGAAGGACATCCTGCCTGTGATGTCCAGTCTTCCTCAGACAGGGACCAGCCTTGAATCTGACCTTTTCCTTGCAGTGATTTATATTTTTTCACTGTGAAACGTGTGTTGGTGCAAGTCAGCAATGACTATACCCACTGTTCCAGCTAAACTCCTCCACAGACACGAGTTGCGGGCCCATGCCAGGTCAGCTGCAATGTTGATTTTTGAGAGAGACAGGAGAGAAAGACAGAAACAGACTTCCAAGGCATTTGGCTTGTCTGTCTGTTAAAAGTTAGAAGTTCACATTGGGATTTGACCAAACGCCCTTGCAGCCCATTGACCAGTAGACTAATGGAAAATTATAACAGTAGCATATGGCTGGATTAATCCTACCACATCAGGTTATACTGGCATCTCCAGCAAGACTACTTTTACAGATGTGGAATGACTGGGACACAGTCCTCGCCATTCTTGCTGTTCCCGCTCTGCGAGATATACACAACATCTCTTTCAGCTGTCAGATTTTCTCTCTGATGTCATTTACATAATCTAAAAAAATGTTTAAAGAAAATGAAACTTGCGATTGCCTGTAAATGACAATCACTTATGCAAATACAGATGAGATGAGTGGGACGCAGCAGGCAGGAAAAGAGCCTAAAGCAGGAGGAAGCTTAGCGTTGAAACAATAAGAGTAAATTAGTCTGATTCCACCTAACCCTCCTTTATTTTCTGAAGTCAAAGCACCATCAACACAGCATTCAGGGCAAAATAAGTTAAAGAAGGAGTGGCCCAAGCCAAAGCAATCAAAACAGATTAAGTATAAATCAAAATTAGCTTCTGGGTGCTTCAGTTCAGTCCCAGTTTATGCCTGTCTGCAACCCTGAAGCGGATGCTCCCTCCTCCCTCCCTTTGCTGATCTGCTCTATATCAGGAGCCCCGCTGTTTGAACTAATGGCAAAAGTAATTAAATGTTGGATATTCTAGCTCGGGGCAAGAGAGATGGCTGTTGTTGCAACAGTGAGTGTGTGACTGGTGTCACACTTGTATTTTCCAAATGTTAGTGGCTGGGCAATGACAAAGATGAAGACAGTGATTGTTCTTTTGTGGATTTACATGCAAATTAAACAGATTAAACATAAGTGAAGTCACCGGAGGCCAAATATATGGGACAAAGTTGAGAATAATAAAAAAGTAAATACATTTTGCATGCTGTGATCGCTCTACTCATCAATCCCTTTGACTCATCACCAGCCGGCTTTAGTCCAGTCTGCGGTGATAATCTGGTATCGGGAAGTGTCACTCAAGGTCAAACAGCAGTTGGGATAAATACCTAATAGGTGCATGAGTCCAAAATGTTCTACAGGGCGAGTGAATGACAGATAAACCCCCAATGTAACACCCTTAAGTGTATGCTATTGTATTATAAAGATCCCATCTAGATTTTCTGCGTAAAGTAGCACTTTCACAGCATTGCAGTGGGAGAAATGTCAGCATGTGACACAGCAATTATACCGGTGCCCTTTTATGAGCTTGCAAATTAAGAAATATCTGTCAGGAAGAGGTCAGCCATGTTTAAATGTTAACATTTAAACATGGCTGACCTGCTGGTCTCATTGTGAGGCTTTCCTTCCAGCTCTGCTGAGATCAACTGACAACACTTCCCATCATCACTTGGGCTTGAAACAGAAGCCTGTGGTGCATTAAACTGGCGATGTGGAGCAGATGTGGTCACTAGAAGGCGTGGACATTTTTTTAAGACGCTTGAACTGTAGAAAGAGAAGTGAGGACATGATCCAGTGTGGCTGATGAAAGCTTGAGTCAAAACCCCTGATGTGATTTTCTTTTAAAAATGAATGAAGAAATGAACTGCCATTGTGAGAACAGCCATGTGAGGCATTTTAACCTCATGAGAAGCCCAGTTAGAGCTTGCACAAGGACAGGGAAGGAACTTATCAGATTTATTTGTTGTTTTTTAACCGCTCTATAGTCTCACAAGTTCACACGTTTCCACTAGATAGGCAGTCAGTTATTTTGTTCATTCCTCCAAACTGCCGACTGTAATAATAAATAATAGAAAACATACCCAGAGAAGTGAAGTTAGATGATGGGACAATTAAAGGAAAGGCTGGTGATAACAAGGCTGCAGCTACAGACGGGGCTGTCTGATGCTGATGTATACTGAGCGCCTCCTGTGGTCCGCGGGTCTTGTCGTGGGAGCACATACACAGTCATTAGTCTCTTGTAGAGCTGCTTTTAACCGCAAAGAAAGATTACATTTGATTTTTAACTGTAGAATTAAGGGATTATGTTGAAACCTGCTAACTTCCTCACTCCGAAAAAGATATGTATTGCTTAAAAAAAAAGACTTAAGATGATCTGTTTTAAGGAAGGAGTGAGCTGTAGACTATTCTCAGTGGTTTCCACTTTACAGTCTGATAACCAGAGCTGTGTGAAACTGTGTGAACGCCCATGCTTGAATCAAATAAGGGGCCTTAGCACCCTCTTGTGAAGCACTTCTGCAGCACAAAATCATTGTGATCACCATGTTTACAGCAGAAAACACATGTGCATTGTGGCCCTGTGTGTGTGTATTTCTGTTAATTGCATTTAATACATTGAGGCTCATTATATTAATGCCATCTGCTCCTTCTCTGTGTGCATAGCTGGCAGGCCTGGGGTGGGACAGAGAACATGGCTGAACCACAGCGGGAAAGCACCAGCAGCCTGCAGAGGAAGAAGCCTCCCTGGCTCAGGCTGGACATTCCCACAACTCAGATGTCACTAGATGAGCCTCCCACATTTGTTCAGGTGCTCTTTCCCTTACTTTTTGTCACTGTTGTCATTTATGTCACGGCATGTGTTAACACTTTTCCAATAAATCTTCTCCTCTGCAGCCGGTGAAGAGACAGGGCTTTCTGCGCAGTATCAGCATGCCAGTCGAGCCCTCTCACCTCCAGTCCCCACCCCGCGATGTCTTTGACACCCGGCGGCCTGTCTTGCAACGCCAGTCATCCATCACTCAGACCATTAAGAGGTAAAACACTTGTTTTTTGTTATTGCCGTCACCCACAATATGGAAGTTTAGGATTAACACTTCAGGAAGCTTTAGAATTTTAACTTTAAGAACTTAACATCTCCTTAGCAGAGTAGCATGCAGTGAAGCTGTAGCCCACGTCTTGTTGGCTATAGTTTGTGACTTTATTTTACAGATTATGGGATGTCATGCAAAGTTAAATAGTGGATGGTGGCATGTTAAAAAGTAACTTCCCCTCCCTCACCCTTTTCCAAATTTCCTAACTGCTTCCCGTTAACATCTTGATGTCCTCTGCCCGGTATTACCTTCCTAATTTTGGAACTCCAAATGAAAACCTTTACATAACAATCTGCTTTGCTCTCTCCGCATGGCTGCCACAGCGCTATCCAGCTGCACATTTCCTTTTCACTGCCTGTTGTTGTCTTTTCTCTTTTCTTCTCCTTCCCCTTTCTTGTCCCTTCTCGCCACCTCGTGGTCCTGCTCTGCCTGGTCACAGCAGCAGGAGGGTTCACTTTGAGCGGATTAACACAGTGCCCGTTAAGGGGCAGCGGGCTGCACGGCGCAGCACCAGGAAACACCACTCTCTCTCCAGAACTCTGCTCAGGTACGCCAGGATGTGTTTGGTTCAGAATGAGGCTAGAGATCTGTAATTACTGAGTTCACTATTATAATATATGGGCTTGATACTTTTGATGCAGCCTTAGACATTTGATCGGTATCAGTCCAGCTTCCAAATCGCAGGAAACCATTTCTCTTTTAGTCACTGGATGTTGCATCCGTGCGTCATGTCATCACCACAAAGACTTCTTTATAAATGAGTCAGAAGGGCATGCAAAACCAAAAGCTGTTATTTTCCTGTTACTGTTACAAACAAATGTTGTAGTAATGGCCAATAATGGCCATCTGCCAAACAAATCACAAGATGTATATGTTGTCTTAGAGCAGTGCTCATTAGTGAACCAGCATTTTAAGGATGACATGCCAGATTTGACGGCCCCTTTAGATTAGAGAGTATTTTCCTGGGCAGTGACAATGACCAGGCATAATCACGGAAGCCAAGCTGACGCAATAAAAGGCTCTCAACGTCTGTGCTTATCACGCAGTCCTATCACCAGCATACACTTCAAGAACTAAGGGTCACACAAATATTACATCGTCTTAAGGAAAGGGGGGGCTTAAGTATACATAAACACCATCAAATTTCCACCTAGCCTTCACTCTGCAGCTGGCAATTAGTGCAGAAACAGCTAGCTGGCCTGAATTTTCCTTTGAAGAATGTTTCCACTTCCACTTCCTGGCCTCGGGCAGCTGTAACATTGTTTGCTCTGGTACTTATTAGGCTTCAACTTAAACAACATGATTGCATGTGTATACATCAAGGGTTACCAGAATGTGCCGGTGTGCAGAGTGGGACACAAATAAAACTTAAAAAGCATCCTTATTGTGTGTTTAATGGGATTTGCTGTCTGCTGGTGTCAGTTAAGATTAGGAAAGCTTAGTATGTTGGATTTTATTTGGCGCCTCAAAACTCAACTAGTTCCTAAAAGTGTGTGACTACACTGCGCATAAATATTTGCAGTGTGTAAATGTGTGACTTTCCCAGTGTATCTGGACATATGCAGCACATGCCTAGACTTGTTCCCTCTCCTGTGCCCATTACTTACACTATCTAGGGCACCTTTTTTACACCGTGGGAGGTGTTGTCTTATCAGTGCCTTGCATGTTTGCCGACCAACTCCTCTATATATTGCAAGGTTCTCTCACTCTGTCTTTCTTTAGAAAGGTAGGTGAATTTAATATCTCTGCGGGAAATGAAGCTGAAAAGTTGGTGTTTGTGGTTTTAAGGGGAACGGCGGACTGGTTTGGAGTCAGTAAGGACGGAGATGCCACTCAGAGATGGCAGAGGAAAAGTTTGCGCCACTGCAGCCTGCGCTATGGAAAGCTAAAACCACAGGTGATCCGAGAGATGGACCTGCCCAGCCAAGACAACATCTCCTTGACCAGCACTGAGACTCCACCTCCTCTCTATGTCCCCTCCTCACAACATGGCATGCAAAAGGTAAAGGGACACTTTGACACTACATGTTTAAAAAAACCAAACTGATCTAATTTAGCAGAGAGGACATGAAAATAACACTGCTCAAAAGACATTACTGTGTAAGTGCAATAAAAACTTATCTAGCAGGTGTCACGCTGTTTATTTTGTTTGTGATTGCAATTAAATGTGTAATTTCAATTAAAAAAAAATGAAAAAACACAAGTATTTATGGCCTTAATTAAAGAGGGGAACTTCATCCTGAGAAATTTTTAAAAACATGTATCTAATATCTGAGGTAAAACATTCTTGTGGGATCTGCCTAACTTGTTGATCCACTGATCTCCAGATTGTGGACCCACTGGCGCGAGGAAGAGCATTCCGCATGGTGGAGGAGGTGGATGGTTACAGCGTGCCCCACACCCCCATCACTCCTGGAGCTGCTTCGATTTGCTCCTTCACCAGCTCCCGCTCAGGTCTCAATCGGCTGCCTCGCCGACGTAAGAGGGAGTCTGTGGCAAAGATGAGTTTCAGGGCTGCAGCGGCGCTGGTCAAGGTGGGAGAGAGGGATCCAATAAACAGATTACATTCAAATACATGCAGTCTTTATAAAAATGAGCATTAATACTGTACAATAAAGAGTAAAACACTTTTGCATGTGGGCTCTATTTGTGCTGGTTCACTGATTTTGATGATATTTCTCAGGGGCGCTCATTACGGGAGAGCACTCTAAGACAGGCTCAAAGACGAAGCTTCACCCCCGCAAGCTTCATGGAGGAAGATGTGGTTGACTTTCCTGATGAATTGGACACATCCTTCTTTGCTAGAGTAAGACGGGACAAATAACAATATTCTTGTTCATGTTTCAAAGCCCCTAATCGCGTCTTCTTTGTAGGATATTCTGATGCACGAGGAGTTGTCCACATACGCAGACGAAGTCTTTGAGTCACCGTCTGAGGCGGCCGTGAAGGAGGACGAGCCCAGCAGCAAGAAGGATGAGACGGAGCTGACAGGCAGCGCCCTAGATAAGACGGAGCTGGAAAGAAGTCATCTCATGCTGTGAGTTGCCACAGGGTTTGTCAGTGAGGCTGTGATGATAATTTTAACATGAATCTTCATTCCTGGAAAGCAGTTTTCTCATGAAAAGTGCAAAACATATATGAGTCAGACAGTAGTGTTAGTTTAGATCAGTGTCTCCAAAAATCAAAATATAATAGACAATATAAAAAGCAATATATAAACTTACAGGCAACCAGTGTAGGTTTGTGATTCTGGTTAGCGATGTTGTCTGACATTATCACAAGTTGGAAATTTGTTCTAAAAGACAATGCACTATCTGATGAGGACATATGTCTCCCTTTTATTTCAGACCTCTGGAGCGAGGGTGGCGTAAAGCCAAAGAAGGAACTCCTGGACCACCAAAGGTGCCCTTGCGGCAGGAGGTCGTGAGTGTTCACGGACAGCGGCGTGGGCAGCGCATTGTTGTTCCTGTCAAGAAGCTTTTTGCCCGAGAGAAACGGCCTTATGGCTTGGGCATGGTGGGGAAACTCACAAACCGCACCTACCGCAAGCGCATTGACAGCTACGTCAAGAGACAAATAGAGGATATGGATGACCACAGGTACAAAACTTCTCACTAATGAGCAGTTCTACCCCACAGTGGGTGATGTTGATGGATGTGTAGCTGCTGCCTATTAAACATGTTCTTTGTCTCTTCTAGGCCTTTTTTTACATACTGGATCACCTTTGTCCATTTGCTCATCACTATCTTGGCTGTGTCCATCTATGGTTTCGCACCTCCAGGCTTCTCCCAGCATGAGACGGTTGATTCTGTGAGTCCAGGCTCAGATGGCGGATGTATGTGCATTGACGCCTTGGCAATTTTCATCTTTCAATAATGTGTAACCTTTTTTGTGTGTGATAATTCAGGTTTTAAGAAACAAAGGTGTGTATGAAAATGTCAAGTTTGTACAACAGGAGAACTTTTGGATTGGGCCCAGTTCGGTAAGCTGTCTTTGGTTGTGGGGGTTTTTTTTGTTGTTTTTTTTGTAATTTGTTCTTTTTTTAAATTTTAGAGTTCATGCATAAATGTCAGCAAATTATTTAATTTTTTACTTTATACCTTTATCCATTCATTTTTAGGAAGCCCTGATCCACTTGGGGGCCAAATACTCTCCATGCATGCGCCAAGACCAGCAAGTGCATGATCTCATCAGGGAAAAGAGGGACATCGAAAGAAACTCTGCCTGCTGTGTGCGCAACGATCGCTCAGGCTGCGTCCAAACCTCAGAGGAGGAATGCTCGGTCGGTAAACAACCCTTTATTTTGGGATCCTTGACATTTGCAGCTCTGCATCAAAGAGAAGCCGTGGGCAATGTTGATTTCTTGTTTTCAGAGTACTCTGGCTGTGTGGGTGAAATGGCCGGGGCATCCCAGCACTCCCAAGTTAAATGGTAAAGACAGACAGTACGGTTCAGTGTGCCATCAGGATCCCAGGTACGGCGCGCTAGTAGTTTCAGTGGTTGAAGCTTGCAGTGTTTATTTAATGATAA